GGCGGAGCCGTTGCGGTTGAGTGGAATTTATTGGTGTGTGAGTGCCGTCATGATTTTGAACAAGGTCCATCCAACCTTCCAACATATGCTATCAGATCATTCATCCAATTATTTGTTAAGATCTCTAGACATTTAGCCCAACGCATTAAGTCGTGAAGCGATTATTGAATATATTCGAGAATGTCAACGACCTGATGGCGGTTTCGCACCAGCTACCCATCATGACAGCCATCTTCTCCATACGTTGAGTGCAGTGCAGGTGATCTTTGCTATCATCGTTTTTAACACAAACTAGAGGCTCTGTTTGCAGATACTTATGATGTATGAAGCACTGGATAGCTTTGACTTGGATATGATCGCTGATTTTGTGCGAAAATTACAAAATGAAGACGGTAGCTTTGGTGGCGATGTGTCAAGTTTGTTTATTTTGACTAATGTGGCTCCCGGATATCAAGCAAATCTTTTTTAGATGAAGTAGACACGAGGTTTTCGTTCTGCGCTGTTGCCACCCTTTATCTTATTGACAGGCTTCATGTAATTGACGTGGAGAAAGCGGTTAAATACGTGCTTAGATGTTATAATTTTGATGGTGGTTTTGGGACAAGACCTGGTTCAGAAAGCCATTCTGGACAGGTATGTTATAACTTATTTTTAAACATGACATAGAATACGTTACTGATGAAGCAAGGTTAAAGCTCGTTAGTTTTTAACTTAACTCGTTTAAAAAACATAAACAGAAAAATACATTAAGTCCTTATTTTTGGTATATGAATGCAGCTGGCTATCAGATTTTCGATAGTGCTCATGGCCTGCACCTAAAAGCTCATGCTCTATAGCAGATGTGTGAGAGGAGTCTGAATAAAGGGGCAGAGCTGGAAATGATTGTTTTATAGTTTGGAGATCAATTTTCGCTATATGTAGTTGGAATAGATCTCATGAGTAGGAGGAGTATGTTAAGGTAGCGAAGGTTTTCCATAGTGTGTGGGCTATTTTCGGTGGATGAGGCTTGACATGAACATTTTGTACCATTTTACAATTTTAGCATCCGTGCTTTCCCTTCAAATCTCAAAAGAAAAATGTGGATACTTCATCATTCGATGTCGATATTCGCTCGAAATCAATTGACAGAGATAGTGACCACAAATTTTAAGGTGTACTGTTGTCTTGGAACTCTGTGTATAACCAGGAGGCTTGATTCAGTCGACAGGGACCGAACAGCGGAGTGGCTGGCACAACGGCAGTGTGCTAGCGGAGGTTTGAATGGTGCGTTAACTTGAATTTTCGCTCAGGATATTAAGTAGCGTATTAATAGAATAAATCTAATAAAAGTACCAGGTTGGCTATATAATTCTCCTTTAAGAACTGTGGTCTCTAGCAGCAACTATGCATAAGCGCTTGCATCTGCTGTTTGCCATCTTCCTTAAGCAATAATGCCCACCACCCTTGCTTAGTCATGTACTTAATTGGCTTGTTTTCATATCTTGCATAACTCTTTCTCCCTGTCGCTAGCGGTGAGCAGGTAATTATTGTCT